CGCAATATATGTAGATCAGGTTTTTTTTATTACACTTTTTTCAGGTTGAGCTGTTAATTGATTACATGACTGAATTAATCCTAGTTAGCAGCCCTGCTATCATGCCTGGACTACTCTACATATCAGCCCATTATTGGGTTTGACCTCCTGCTGTGTGTCAGGGAAATTCAGCACATGGAAGATATGGTCTGTTAGGTTGACAAGCTACAGACTCCATCACTCTCAGTAGTCATAATCAAAGAATTATGAATCATTTGAGTTGGAAGGAACCCTCTCCTGTAATGAACAGGGACACCTACAGCTAGACTGGGATTCCCAGAGCCCTTTCCAGCCTGTCCTTGGTGCCTCCAGGAATTGGCATCCACCAGCTCCCTGTGCAGCCTGTGTCAGTGCCTCACCACCAGTTTTTTTTTTTTTTGTGAAAAAAAATATCTTTGTTATATACTGTCTAAATCTCTCCTTTAGTTTGAAACCATTACCCCTCATCCTATCACAACAGACTCTGCTAAAGAATTGGCCTTCTTCTTTCCTGTAGATCCCCTTTAGATACTGACAGGCCACTCTCAGGTCTCCCAGGAGCCTTCTCTTCTCCAGGCCAAACAGCCCCAGCTCTCTCAGCCTGTCCTCATAGGATAGGCATTCTATCCCTGGGATCATTTTTGTGGCTCTCCTCTGGACATGTTCAAACAGATCCACAGCTCTCCTGTACTGAAGACTCCACATCTGGACACAGAACTGCAGGTGAGGACTCACAGTGCAGAACAGAAGGGTAGGATCAACAGAAGGTAGCAGATCCCTGATCTGCTAGCTGCACTTCTTTTAGCTTGTCAGGGTCTCTCTGAATGGCATTCTGCCCCTCGGATGTGTCAGCTATACCACACAGCTTGATGTCATCTGCAAACTGCTAAGGGTGCACTCAATCCCAATGTCTATGTCATTGATGAAAATGTGTATGGGAACTGCTGAGTCATGGCCTGAACCTCTGATTGACCACCTGAGGCGAGCACTGAGTCAGCCACAGGAGCACAGGTGAAGGCAATTCTCCTGTGCCGCAGGAAGGGGGGGAGCCTGGCTGCACCTCTCCTAGACCCATTTAAGAGCTGACTACCAGTGGGGAAGGAGCTCTTCTGGTGATCCACTCCACCAGAGTTTCCCACCCAAACCCAGGATAGAGTGAACGTCCTTCTTTTCTGCTCTAGTGTAATAGCTACGTAAGTCAAGCTCTTGGATATACAATATCATCTGTATATTCATTGCTTGTATGGAATGTTAAAGAGCACAGGCCCCAGCACTGAGCCCTAAGGGGCACCATTTGGACACTGAGCCACTGAGCACCACTCTCTGGGTATGACCTCACAACCAGCTCCTCATTGAATAGTCCACCCGCTAAATCCATGTATTTCCAGTTTGGAGAGAAGGATGTTGTGGAGGACTGTGCCAAGGACCTTGATGGAGTTCAGATAGATGACATCAGTTGCCCTTCTCTTGTTCACTGATGCAGTAATGTCATCAATGATTCACAATGAATTAATTTAGCTCTATTATAATGATGCAGTAGTGCTAAATTCAAAGAGTATTTAGCTCAAAAGAGGAAGAACGTAGCATGAGAAACCAGAGTAATTAGATGTACCTACACTGGTATCCAAGGAGAGCACGGAAATTATGATTTTATCCTGAAAGAACTTTGCAGATGGCCTTCTTGCCGCCTGCAACTCCTCCATGACTTTCTCATGTACCATTCTACTGCTAATCTTTCCTTTCAACCTTTCCTTTTCCATTCTTTCTATATAATGCTGACATCATATGCTTTACTGTAGCACAATCTAGCTTTTACATAAGTGAGGACACCTGAACCTTGCCTATTGTTCAGATCAGATGGACAAGTCCTTCCCATTTTAACAACCTTAAATCTGGACAAAATGTTCTGCTCTTTTTACTATTTATTTGCATAGTAACATGCAACAGAAAGGCACTCCTGAATCACAGAGCCTAGCTCCTGCCACTGTAGAAACTGTGCTGTACAATTGCCTCTCAATTTATCAAGTACCACATCAGAAGTGGCTATATTTTTTGTTCCCACTAATTCCAAGGAAACACTGTTTCAGAATTTGATTGCTGTAATGATTGGAAACATTTTTCTAATCTTCTGACTAAATTTATTAATGGCTAGTTCGTATCTATTTATTCATGTATCAACACTGACCTGCAAATTAAATGGTTTTCATCCTTCATTTTTATTTTCCTCATATATTTACAGAGAACACTCCTATCTCCTCTGTTTTTGTTTTATTGAAATAAACAAGCTGAGCCAAATCTGTTTGTACAAAATGCTCCCAGTCTTTCTGGTGACCCACCTACTCTTTCTCTACTTCAGTTCCACCTTAGCTCAACTATAGAACAACTACAAACTTCCACGGTACCCCAGATGAGCTTTCACCTAAGGGCTTTAAGTTCCTTCAGCAATGACACTGATACCTCCTTACTTTAAATGGAAATATATGTCCTGAGATGTTCTCTGGACTTACGGTGATTCCCAAGTGTAAATCATCACCAGATTTCAATAGTGTGTGCTTATTAATCTTACCAGGACTACAGAAAAATTATCAAGTATTCAAAACCCAGCCCTTTATGACTGACACTTTCCTTTTCAAATGTTATCTATGGCTATCTCACTTCACAGCTCCTCTCCTGACCCTGTATTTTCATTCTTTCCAGGTGATATTATATGTTTTATTGAAGTTTTTTTTTTTTATTGAAACCACATTTGACTCGTAAATCTCTACTTCCCAAAAGTTTTGCAAGTGATTTAGACCACACTTACAGATCTCTGGTTGGGCAGATCATCTGTCTTATGTTTGTACGTAAGCTATCACGGCACAGGTTCAGCTGACCTGACTTCACAAAATTAACACACAGAGAGATGGGGATCTACAGGGAGCAATTCGTGACATGACCTGACCTCTGCCAACGGCTCCCTCACCCAGCACACAGGCAGTCTGTTCTCTGTGGGCTCACTGGGATACCTCAGATAAAAGTTAAAGTTGGAGGGCAAGCTGATGTTCTCTAGAGAGATTGTAACATCCTTAAAAGATGCATTGAAAAAAAAACAACTACTAGCTTTTATGTAACACCTGTTTCAGCATTTTAGATGCCATCCCTACCAAAGTATGGCTGGGGGTTTTGCACTTGCTGCTGCTGTAGTAATTTCTGTTCTGCCACTCACGTTCTCAGGACAAGCATGCTCTGATTTTGAGGGATTTATCAGAGGCTCAACAGGAGGTGGTCACATCCTTTCCCACTCTCTCATTTATATCACCGAAAAATCTTCTGCTTTTAAAATTCCATGACAGTATGATACAAGCTCATCTACTTGGTAGAAATTTGAAGTAATTTTAAGCTGAAAAAGAATAGATAATTGATTGGCAAAAATAACAAGAAGCAGCAGAAGAAGCAGGTCAGCAATAATCAACTGAGTCAAAAGCTTTTGACTGTATTTGTATATACTGTACATGTAGGTGGAAAGAAAGGGAACATAAAAATTACTCAGGCCTTCTAAAAATACTATTAAAAATCCCACTGACCATGGCGCTACAAGACAAAAAAAAAAAAAAAAAAAAAAAAAAGAAAAAGTAAAAGCATTTCATATTGCAGCATCTTGTAAAATTTTATTCAATTGAAGTATATTTTTATTTCATTAATCAAGATCATCATCAGCCGCCAGGCCCATCAACCATGCTTCTTCTGCACACTTTTCTGAATAATCCAGTTGCACAATAAATAAAATTTCAAGTCAGAAGGGGTCAACTGAAAATATAAGGAGTTCGGATTTTTATTTTTTTTGTTCATCCTTTCCCAATTTCATTTAAAAATAAACTTTTTCCTCATTTATTTCTAAAATTTTAGCAGATTCAAGTTTCCTTTGCCCCATCTAAAAGACTATATGGAACTATTTATAGGTAGTTTTATTACTACTATTGTTTTATTGTTTTGTCTTGTTTCTGAATCTAGGTATTGGGCCTGTTACTGTGTCCAAAATAAGTTACAACAATACACAGAAGAATTGAACTATGTAGCTCCTATTTTGCTTATACATTGTAAATCCTTTCCAAATCTTGCTCTAGGCCATGAAAAAAGTCAGGCAAATTCTTAAGATGGCACCTGATGGTGACATAGGTCGCTTTGCTTCGCAATAGGGATTAGCACATTAGCTTAAGAACCAGTATATTAGTTCAGCAAAAGGAATCCGTGAGTGATGGTTCTAAAACTTTCCATTTCAACTTCAGTGGGCGAATAGTCATGTTTTCCTCAACAATTTTGCACTGCCAACGTAATAGGATACTTTTATCTTTCACCTCAATGATTTTGCCTCACAAGAAGCACAGGAGTCATAAGAGAACACTTCCATCTTCTACACCGAGAAGGTGCAAGGACATCTTCCTTGGATTCCACCTGTATCACTCTAAATGTTGCTCACCATGGCATAATAAGCAATGGAGATTTTCCAAATTGAAGAAAAGCGGTTGAAAATCAGCCAAAGGTCTCTGTGATGAAGCTGATGGCAGAAAATGGGGAAGAAACAGGTGGGCACTTGACCATCCTAGATGTTAGTGAGCATGCCCAGAGGGACATTAGCATATATTAGCCAGTCCTTGAAAAAGAATGTGTATGCAAAAGTACTTCATATATATGTCTTAACTGTTTGAATGCAGAACCTGAATCTGAGGAGGTGTGCTTGCTTGTCGTGTCACCGGGTGCTGCTGTGAGGAATAAAGGCATGCCGACTTCGAACACCACATTGCAGTTGGAGAGTTTTCTTTCCAGATTTCGGATGACGGTGGGACGCACCCTGGGCGTTGGGTGAACGTTCCGTTGGGCTGATAGCAGCACAGGTGGCACAACACACATTCGTAACCCCCTCTTCACGTAACAGGTGGGAGCCGCAGGGAGGCACCCTCGGCGCGGGAAGGGCCGCGCATGCGTACCGCCGCCCCACCTCACCGCGCCGCCGCGGCGATGGCGGCTGCTGGGGGTTGAGCCGAACCTCTACTGCCGCACGCCGGGCCTGCGGGGAGGCGGTGGCCTCCAGCATGGTGCGGTGTGGAGGAGCGGCGCTGCGGAGGGTCAGTGCGGGGCAGCCGCGGGCGGGGCGGCCCTAGCGGCTGCGCGGCCCTCCGCGTGGCTGCCGTGGCCGCTTTCACCCCTGAGGCCTCGCCGTCCTGCACGCCTGGGGCTCCGGCCCTGCGAGGGCTTTGTGCCCGTGGCCCGGCCTGAGCGCTGCCCATTGCTGAGAAGGACGTGGCGGCCGTTGCCCGCACCGCTCGGTGTCCGGGAGGGCTGCGCGGAGAGCTTGTGGGTGTGGTGTGGAGGGATGGGTTGGAGGTTGGACTGGGTCGTTCAGAGAGCTGCTCAGCCTTAGGGATTCTGTGATTCTACTCTGTGTCTGCTTTCAGAACTTCATTGCCAGAAAAAAAGAGCTACGTGAGGCATTTTATCCAGGCTTTATCTAGTGGCTCTAAAATGAAAGCTAAACAGAATGAAGTGCTGATGCGAAGCTTTGTGCCTTCTTAGTATGGAAACTTCATCGATGATTTGCGGCTGTATGTGAGAGGAGGAACAGGTGGAATGGGTTATCCCCGCCTGGGTGGGGAAGGAGGGAGAGGTGGCGATGTCTGGTTCGTTGCCCAGGAAAGATCGACCCTAAAGAGCGTGAAGGCGAGGTACCCAAAGAAGCGATTTGTGGCTGGAACAGGAGCCAACAGCAGGTTCGTCTGGTTGTTAGCATCTGTCCTTCCCGCATAGCAAAGCGTTTAAGTTACTGAGCCTGGCTTAATGTCTCCCAGCCTTAAAGCACTGAAAGGTGAAAAAGGGAAGGACTGTGAAGTGCATGTGCCACCAGGGATTTCAGTTCTTGATGATGATGGGAAGAAGATTGGTAAGAACTTGTGCTTTCATTTAATATATCCTAGTATATAATGTCATTTATCGATATTTCTCGACATTTTGTAGACTTCTAATGCTACACATATCCCAAAATATGTGGTGTTTGCTTTTTTTTGTTATTGTTGTTGGCCAGACAGAAATTGACAAAAATTATACTTAGAAAATGCTGGACAGGCAGAGGCCCCTTCCAGAAATTAGTAATAGTTAATTTGTACTGCTGTATGCAGCAGAACATTTGTTGCAACAATTCCCTGTGGCTGGAAGCCATAATGGTCTATTATTGGATTAATGATGTGTCCTTAAGCTCAGTGAAGCGTCCCACTGACTTTACTGAATTATGACATAGCTTAGAAAAATAAAGATCCTTGCTGAGTGCCAGTATTTCAGGTTATCTAAAATGTTCATTATTAAAAAAAAAAAAAAAAAAAAGTAGTAATTACTGGTAACCAGGAAGAGCACATTCAATAGAGATGCCTCTTTGTAAAATAGCATGGAAGATTCTTTCTTCATTGAAATGGGAAATCACACCTGAACCATTGCAGGAAGTTATGCTTTTTCACTAACTGATTTATTTTCAGGAGAACTTAATGGAGCAGGAGAGAGATTCCTGGCAGCTCGGGGAGGTCTCGGTGGCACTTTGGCCACAAACTTCTTGCCTTGCAAAGGTCAGAGGCGAATTGTTCATCTTGATTTGAAACTTATAGCCGACGTGGGCTTAGTTGGGTAAGTACTGCAGTTCTGTGTTGTGGTTTGAGAACTGACATCAAAAATTAGAGCACTAAATTTCTAAAGGGATGTGAAAGAAATTACAGAGGTGGAGTTTGAGTGTCGTTGTAACTTTGCCACTTCAATTACTTCAAGTCTGTGAAAATAAGCACTTAAAACCTATTAAAATTAATTCTAAAATTCAGAAACCATTGGTTATGCTTTGTTAATCGTGGTCATCAGTTTAACATGAATTCAGCAACTGCAATGATTTTCAAAATACTGTTAGCGAAGGTTTGTAGTTTAAGTGGTAGGTATCAAACAAAGTCAAGAGCAGTATCCATATTGGTTCTTCCACTGAATGATACTGGCATAAGTGGATCCTTTCAGTAGATAGTCTTAAAGAAAATATTGAAGGCTACGTAGCCCACTGTCCCAATAAACTGGATGCAATGTGGGAAGGAAGAAATTACAAGCTAGAACAGTAGGGTTTGTATTTCTTTTGCACTGGTGCTTTTCAGTGTTGCTGCTTATTAACAACACAGGTAAACATTTATTTGGACAGAGCTTTTAACAAACCACAGTTGTGTAAGGATCGGTCTGCTTGGCATTATTTTTCCCTTTCAGTCCTTATTCATTAAAAAAAAAATAATCAGTAAACATTGTAAAGTAAAAGCAACTGGTTTTAAGCTGAAGTACTTTAGTTTGTATATTCCCTCACAGAATGGAGCCCTAAATACAGCTGGATTTTTTTTTTTATTTATTAGAAATAGTTCAGTAGCCCTGATAATAACAGAAATATTAGTTACATCATTTTCAAGTAATCTCCAGTAATTATGTTATACAGAATATTTTGGTTTTAGAGTTGTGTAAAATATAGGAGTTCTGTGGTGTTTCTTTAACCTTTCATTTTAGCCTATGTTTTATCTGACGGTTTCCCTTTAAAACTCATTACATAAATACCATTTAATTTGAGGAGATGATTATTTTCTTGTTGAGAGTATAAATCAATCTCTGATAATTTGTGATTGTACTTTGATCTTGTAGAGTTTGTTACTTGTACTTCAGTAGATTTCTAAGTGGTGTGCTATTAAATCAGGTCTGAAAGCATCTAGGCATTAGAAGGGGCCTCAAGTTTGGTGCAGATTGTGATGGATAGTGTAGGTTGCAATTTAAACTTCAAAGAGGATATTGTGCTTCAGTGGAAGCAAAATACATGCTTGAGGATATGACCAGAGTAACTTTCCAGGCTGTCTTTAAGGCACTTCTCAATATCAGAGAGCATTAAAATTACCCTGAATAATTTTCTGTTCTAACAGAGTCTTTGTGTCTCTGATCTTTTTGAGGAAAGCCTTTACAAGCCTATCATAACTGCCCCTCCATAAAGCCCTTTAATTTAATATTAGTCTTATTTTTCGTGTTAGTTGTACTTGCAAACAGGTTATGATTGCGTGTCTTTATGTGGAGACTACAGAGTTTTTTGTATGGCTACAAAAACTACAGAGTTTTATGTATTCTGAGGTACCCACGCCTTTGTGACTAATAATCATTTGCAAGCAGACTCCATTTCCTTCGATCCCTGTTGCAGTGAAGCACTGTGCTGAGTAACTGATCTTGGGTGGAATATAAGTCTTGTGTGGTCTCCTGTGTGGAGCAGGTTGCTATAAGAAAACTTACAGACTCTGACTACAACTTAACGTTTGACAGGGATCAAAACTGTTGTGTCCTTTACAGCTCAGACAATTCTTTAAAATGAGCAGGGCTACCCATAGCAGGTCATCACATCCAGGTGATTAAGGAGGAGGCCCCACAGCCTCTATGCAGCCTGTGCCACTGCTCTGTCACCTGCAGAGCATGGAGGTGCTGTCTAGTGTTCAGTCTCCTGTGTTCCAGTTTGTGCCCACTGCCTCTTTCCTGACACTGAAAAGAGCTGTGTTCTCTCTCTTGGCACCTTCCTCTCAGGTATTTATGCTGATGAGATCCTGGAGCTCTCTCTTTTCTTGGCTAAGCAGTGGTAATTTCAGGATCACTCATACGACTTTGTTACCTTAAAAATCTGTGCAGATGCCTCACATACTTCCTGCAGCCCTGGAATGCATCAACAAATTTATTAAAAAAAAAAAAAAGATTCAAATTTAGTTTTAAAAAAAAAGAAAGTAACTGTTTAAAAAAAGTGTTAAAAGGTCGTGAATTAATCTATAGCATTGAGTTTAACTAAGTAATACAGTATGTTGGGTAATAAAATATACAAGAATCACATGTGTTTATTCACTGTATAAATTCTGACTTTCCCTCTAGGTTTCCAAATGCAGGAAAATCATCATTGCTAAGCAAGATTTCTCAGGCCAAACCTGAGATTGCAAATTATGCGTGTAAGTTCATACTCTTATTTTTAATGCTGTAATATTCAAGAGAAGAAGAAGGTTTATAATAAAGGTTTACAAGTTTATAATAAAAAATAGGAGATAACCATGTTGCTTGCTAAATATGTTGCACAGATTATGAATTATACCAAATACCTTTAGAAATAGCTTTCCATGTCAATAACTAGTTCCTTTTACATCCTTAGTTGTTCACATGTACGCATCCGTAGTGCTTGAAGCTATTAATGCGAGGTCGATTTATTTTAGTCTCATCCCTTTTTGTTTCCTTTGAGACCAGTGCCCTCACTCTACTGAATATGCAGAATCGTGTTCTTTTGCGTAAGCATCTTTGGAAATAGCTACCACCTGTTCTTGCAACAGAGTAAGACTTCAGTTTTGAGTATCTACTGAAAGATACACTATTATTACCCTTTCTAAGGATTAGCCATCTGAACATTCTTTAATTAAAAAGTAATTTGGTGTGCTGTGCTACTGCTGCCTGTATTTTGCCTAGATCATTTATCCAGAGTTCTACCTGTGAAAAGATGTTGTCCTCACCCACTGTCTCTTCAGATGCTGTGTGTTAAACAGATATGTGTTGAAATCTACAGAGACATCCAGTAATCACATGGAGGGGTTCGTGCATGAGGAGAGGTCCATGTGATGGTTTTCTGTTTGACATTAGTGAGGAAAGTAATTGGAGGCTAGTCGAAGTTACTTAATTAAGCAGATGACTTGCAAAACAAACTGAATGAAAAATAGCACTTTGAAATAACTATAGTAGATTCACATACGAAGACTACAGATGTTTGCCCTCCTTCCCTTTCTTCCAGACTTTAGTTCTGGATATTCTGATAAAAAAAAAAACTTCAGGCCTTTGCATCATCATCAGTTCTGCAAGTAATTAAATGGAACAACAAAAAACCACCACGCTGATCCTTCTGGTCAGTCTGATCTCCATTACTCTGCCTCTCCATCTCCAAAAATTCTGTTTTAAAGTTACTCTTGAGTAAGCTACCGTTATACTGAGCATTAACAATAGCATGACTACAGAGCCTATGTTTTCCTGACAGTCAGTTAAAAGCTGCCAAAGGCACTGGGACATGCTGTGTGTCCTAAAATGATCTTCATGTTTCTGATAATTAAGAGTACAGAAATACTATAGGTGAAAACACAAGTGATACCCATGCAACATTGAAGACGTTAACAGCCTTCTGAATGGAACCAAAAGCAGATGATTGGAGAGAAGTGCGTAATAAATGCTTTGGATACTTCCCCTGTGTGAGCTCACGTTTGTGATATAAGGGCTTCCAATTTATGCATGTTTAATAATTCTCAGTGAGTTGTCTGGTTGCCCATCAGTGACTGTTTTGAGTAACCGTGTGCCTTTGGCAAGGGGTAATGAAGTTTTAACTGCATCTTTGAAGAACACCTCCCCCTTTTTTTATGTGTTCTGAGTTGGCTGCCACATATTTTGTAATGATGGCACCAAATGTTTACAGAAGAGATGTGCAAGGATTTGAGTTCTGGTAATTTCTACTGACCTGCTCGTGTAGCTCCTGATTCTCTACAGTCTTTTTAAAGAAGAATTCTAACTCTCTCGTATTTCCTAATTTGACAGCCATTCCATGCTCTGAATAACCATTTTGAGTCTAACAATTTCTGACTCCTCTATTCCCTCTTTGGTCTGGGAGGATCAATACTGCATACAGTGCCAAGATCTGATGAACCACTGAGTTACAGAGTTCTCCAATTTTATTTTTTTTTCCTCTATATTCCTTTTCCATTTATTCTGCTTGCCTTTTCTGCTGCTGAACACTTGTATCATGTACATCTAAAGTCAGAAAGTTGTGCAACTTTTGAATATTTTTGAATGTTAACTTTTTTTAGTAATTAAAAGTTTTGTGTCTTTCCCCTCCTCTTTTTTCCTCTTGTCATAGTTACAACGATACAGCCTGAGCTAGGAAAGATCATGTATGAAGATTTTAAACAGGTTGGTATGAAGGTTTGTTCTGGTTAAGTTGTGTGTAATGGTTATTTATGTTCCTTAACAGCATTTCAAAAAGAAATGGAAACTTAACTTGTAGAGTTTTCTGGATATATCTATATACATAAGACAATTACGTGGGTTAAAGGGAGGTTGTGGAGAAAATCTTAAACAACAACAACAACAAAAAAACAGTAATAAGGTGGCTCTATAGTCAAGTGCAGTGCATGCTGAATTGGTCTGAAGTCACTTTAATAAATGGCTTCTCATTTTCCTCTGCCTTTTTTCTGTGATTCTAATCCTGCGTTATAATCTCAGAGTTGTGAGTTTGTGTTTGGGAGTGAGATTGCTGTGTCCTAGTTTACTCCTGTTAAGTTTAGGAGCTGATCAAATGTTTCAAAAAATTGCTTGCTATTTTATTCACAAAAGGCACATTTTGACGATGTGGAGATGACTCAGGGATGAATGAGTTATTCTCAGAATTAATTTTAATAGGAGCTACTTTATCCAGCAGCTGCAGATCCATAGTAGTGAATGAAGTGGAATACAATTACTATAACTTCTTGTTCTGCCTTTCTGGATTAACTTCTTTTCTCTAAATAAAAAGCAAAATTAAAATGAAGTGAGAGTGACTGCATGAACAGCCAGAATAGTGTGATCCTTAAGGGGTAGCTGGGTCCACTTTCCCTTGTGGTAGCTGCAGACTGCCTCGCTTTTTGTGATCCCAATTTTGCCTGGCATCTTCAGGTAATTCTGGGGTGCTCTGAATGCTTTCTGAGGATTCAAACATTGGAGAGGAATACCAATGCAAAATAAGGTTCTTACTAGCACATTTTGGTACAGAGTTGGACCATGTAGAGCTAAGTAAACATTTTTGTTCCTCAAGCTTAAATCTTTGATGTAGTTTTGTTTCTAAGTGTATGTATGACGCAGGAGGTACTGAGATCAGCACTTCAAAGATAAAAGACAAATGCATAAAAGGTCTTCACATGAGTTAATTGGAAAAGCTTACCCTTCAGATGTGAAAAGGCAAACTCCTCTTTCCCCCTTCAGAAGCAATAATCTTAGGGGATTTGGTAGCTGATACTTGAAATTTTCATTTACCAGCCTTCAGCATTATTGTATGCTAAAGGAAGGAGAACTAAATTGCCAGGCTTTTAAAAACATGCAGGTTTTCAGTCAATTTGTATTCAAGTTGAGACAAACCCATCAGTCTATGCAACATATGAAATGCAGCTTTCTGGGAAGGTTTTGTTACCTCCTTTGAAGTGGGCCGTTCTCTACTACTCCTAGATTCAAACAGCTAAAGGAAACTTTTTGTTTATTCGTTTTATCTGCTTGTTATGGGTAACATCCTAGAAAACTGTGTTGCAAATAATAAGCTGGTTTATATTGTAGCCTTTGAAAAAACTACCTGCTATGAACTCAGGAACTCTTGCTTTTACTGGAGTGTTATGTTCCAGCAGGAGAGCTACTCGTACTGACATTCTTTTCTGCAGCTGGTTTATCATTTCCAATGACCTTTACATCTTGGCTGATTCTACATTTTGTGGCTTTTAAACATCAGTGCTGGGTGCTATATAAAAGCTATACATACAACATACCTCTTTTCTAAAATCAAGGGAACTAGTGACTCTGATTGCACTGAGCATCTGTGAGTGGGAGGAGGTAATTTGGCTCGCAGTATTGCAACTGCTGAAAACAAAACAGCGGGAGCAGCTAAGAGCAGTGTGTGAGGTGGCTGTCCTGTATTGTTCAGGGGAGGCCAGTTCACTGTATCTTTTTATTTTCCTAGAAGAGAACATCGAGGTTTCTAAAGAAATATGTAGCAGTGCCTGTTTTATTTTAGTACTTTACAAAAAAAAGTAAGGGCCACCTGAGTTATGTACTACTTGCAAAAGAGTCTTGATAACAGTGGTGCAAATGTAGAGAGTATGAGCTTGGGGTTCAGCTCATAGCACCAGGTCATGAAAGCTGTCAGAACCTTTCACGTATTGTACCAGAATACCTGAACCAAGTGCTGTTTTGAGAGAATCTGAGTTTTGTTGAGCTCTATAAAAATATTCTTTGGAATACAACTCAAGTCATGAAACCAAACGTCAGGAGGTGGGTGGTTTTATATTCCAATCCAGTGGTTATTCTCTCCCTATTTCTACTTCCAAGTCAGCAGTTCACCCACCTGTATCTCACATCCCTGTAGATGGAAAATTCTGAAGCAAGGCTTTTGAAGTGCTTGGGAAATGGGTAACGGTTAAAAAGTTAGTGGGACTGGTAAGGGAGAGCACAACTCATAGCAGAAAGTGGGTTGCATGCTGAAATTTTATTGTGTGCTGGCTTTGAACCCTGTTTAACTGAATCCAGCTGCTGTCCAAATGGCTGTCAGATAGGTGCGAGCCATAACTTCTGCCCTCTTCTGTCTTGGCTTCCTGTGGGTTAATGGGTAGCTGTGGGGTTTTTTAATATTCTGCTCTTTATTAGTCTGTCTTAGCTCTCCTTTACAGCTGTACATAGCCCTCCCAAGCAGCAGAGACCTGTTCATTTTGGCAGTTCTTGCTGGGCTCTGGTTGGCAGCTGGTATACTAATAAACATTTCAGCTGAAGAGCAGAAGATAAATACTTGCAGCTTCTCATGTTCAGGGGAGCAGTGCTAAGTGAGTTTGTATTTGACATTACAATTTTTCTGTAGCCACGAGGAGCAGACTTCATTTTCTTTTCTGGTGACAGTTTGAATTCTGTATGTACTTGATAGCCCAATTTTCCCAGTTCCTAGAATGTGTTTTACTCTTAGGTAAATGTTGCAGAGACATTTTTATGCCTCTGCTTTTTAGACAGTTATAAATAAACAGAGGGGGAACATGAGGAGCAGGATGACTGTGGAAGAGTAGCGTTGTTTCAGTCTGCTTCTGATGATGGGTTTTTGATGTATGGAGAAAAACCAATGTGTTATGCCAGAGAACTGATCCCCCACACAATTCCAAGGAGTACGTGTCTGTAAAAGGAGCCTTTCACAGTAGATATTCTTTGTGGTTTTTGTCTGGATTATTTTGTTTATATAAAGTTGTAGTAGACATGAATAGTTTAAAATCACTTGTGCATATTGGAAATCTTTTATTTGAAACTTTTGTTTTCCTAGATTTTAGTAGCTGATCTCCCAGGACTGATTGAAGGTGCACATAAGAACAAGGGGAGGGGACACAAATTTCTCAAACATGTGGAAAGAACCAAACACCTCCTCTTAGTTGTAAGTTGAATAAAATACACAGCATATTGAAATCAAAGACAGGGTAGTAAATACAATGCATCTTAATTACAGTATAGTTGGAATTTCAGAAATCATTTGTAACTTGGATACTTTATAATAAATATAGCTATTATTTTGTTATTAGAATAGGGAGCATAAACAACTGTCTGATGCTACATTAAATCCTTAAGCAGAATTTATTATTAAAACCTGACAATTAATTTAGAGCTGTGAAGTGTTCCAGTAATAATTAAGGCTAGTGGGTAATTTCTTTTTTTTTTTTTTTTTAATCCCCTCCCCCCAGTCTTCCCATAAGGAAGGGTTTGAAAATCAGGGCTTTGAGAACCATCCTCCCAGACCCAACTCATTTGTGCTTCCAGTGCCTGTGATTTTTCTTTGGAGTGTAGTTTCCCTCTGTTATTTGCCCAGGAATGAGGAAGTGTTCACAGAGGTGGTACCACAGAGTAGCTATTGGAGAGAGCCTTGATATTGTAGCATAATTTCATAACACTAAGCTGTTGTGTTTTGTTTTGTTTCTTGTAACTTTTTCAGGTTGATATCGCTGGGTTTCAGCTCTCTAATAAGACTCAATTCAGAACAGCCTTTGAAACTGTATTGCTTCTAACTAAGGTAACTTCTTATCATCCTGTCAGTTGTAGTTGTGCATTGAGCCAAGAAAGCATTAGTTTTAATGAAGAAATTTTAAATTTCATGTGTTTTCTAGGCTTGTAATAGAAGGATCAAGTAAGAAGCTTAGCATTCTCATAAGTGATAAAATCTTTAACTGTCTGATGAAAGTGCTTTACTTTGAGCTTAACAGCTCCGTCATTGATCTGTCGTGATCTTTGTCATGGTCGAGTGAAGGTGAAAAGATGCAGCTTTTTCAGTTCTCCAATGCATTAGCCTTCTGGAAGTAGGAATATGTGAGCGTAGCTAAATCTCTGCCTTAACACCCTTACTGTATAGCCTAATAGAGACGAAACAACAGGCCTCAGCTTTGCAGACGTTCATTCTTTCTGTTTTTTATCATTGCTTCTGATTGAAATGATGCAGCTTATATTGTGTAAGTTTAGCAGTTTTCTCAGTTGTTCTACAGCTGTAGATGATGGGTCTTCAGAATTCCAGCTTGTTGGTTTGTTTACCTTTAGGTGTGTCATGTTCTCTTATGTTTTTTTTCTGGTATAAATCACTATCTGTGCCTAAAATCCTTAGAATCAGAAACCTGTCCCAAGAATTTCCTTATGTTTCATAGACATAATTTTTTTTATGAACAGAAAAATAAAAAGAAAGCCGTCATTCCTTTATAGGGAGTGTTTCAGAATCATCCAGCCTGTTTACCTGAATTATCTGTGTAGTACAAAAGATCACTGAAAGTTTGAACATTTCCTTGTATCAGGCTCTTTTAATACATCTGCTTTTGAGTCCCTGAGTAACCCTTACAGCTGCCTAGACATTGAATCTGTTTAGACAACTAAGTAAATGAGAGAGTATAAGTAAAATTGAAGCAGCACTTTTTAAGCTACTGATACTTATTCAGGCAAATGTATTTGTCTTTTAAGGAATTGGAGCTGTACAATGAAGAACTTCTGACAAAGCCTGCACTGCTTGCCATTAATAAAATGGATTTGCCGTGTGCAAAAGATAACCTGAATGAACTTATGAAACAATTACAGAATCCTGAAGGTAAATTAACTTCCAACAGTTATCTTTAACGGATCTAATAAGATTGGAGTAACACTGCATTGGCAAGTTGTTGTTTGAAATTTAATGGAAATTGGCTATTAAACTTGTTATTTCACAGAATCACAGATTGTATATATTTTAAAACAAATTTCTGTACATAGATGATCTCTGTTTCTGTGTACCTTTATTGCTGGCTTTGCTGTTAAAATAGAGATCCTGAAAGACTTTCCCAGCTATGGGAGAGTTAATTTTAATTTGCAGTTTAGGTATCATGAGTACCAAGTGGTGACCTTTCAGGATCCCCTTAGAGACGCTGATAGATGTGCAGTTTATCACATGGCTTTGACCAAGGCGTGTGAAGATTCTGGGCAGCTATGTGTAGGCTTTTGACCATTTTGCTGTTACATTGCAGTGAATTCCTTTCTATTTCCTGAAGGATGGTTTTAAGCTTTCCTGATTCTTAAACACATCTTGCATATTCTACAGCTTGGGATGTCTTTGTACACATCTTTGCACGATGGTCCATGTGAGGGTTGGTATGTGATAATGCAAGGGCTCTGTTACTGCTCGTCTTGTGAGAAAGCTTTTTTTAAGATGAATTAAGCAAAAGAATTAAGCATTATGTTTTTCTATTGTAACTGATGAAAGTCTTATTTTCTAAATGCAATAGGCTTTGTAGTGATTCAGTGTATCAGCTTTTACTAACTCTTGAACTGTTATGTTTCAGACTTCCTACACTTACTAGAGGAAGAAGCGATTCCTGAGAACACAATTGATTTCAGAGATATAATTCCTATATCTACATATACTGGAGAAGGAGTTGAGGAACTAAAAGCATGCGTAAGAAGATCACTAGATGAGGAAGCAGAGCAGGAGAATGAAGAATATCGGAAAAAGAAACTGTCACTTTTACACAGTTCAGGAGAACAAATGAATAAAGGCTAGCATTCTTGACTAGATTTTAATATGTTTTTGTATGTTCGTGAACTCAGTGCTACATGGACCTTCCTTTTTATTTTTGTTCCCTCTAGCATCACTGCCCAGTTCTCTACTGCATTGCCTCAGTTCCTTTTGGTGCTTAGGTAGAGCACAGTGCTGAGCAGAGCAGGTTTTCAGATTTGTGCTGACTACTGACTGAACAAAGCAGAGAACAAAGTGCAGCTCAAAGCATTGCCTAACAATTGATGAACCCTGAAATATTGTTTGCCACACACGGATGAACAGAAGAAATAAAACCTATGGAGGTAGCAAAGGAGCAACTTGAACCACTTGTACCTTTTGTCATGAATCTCAGAGGCACCTGGGGAAATCTCTGATGGAGGAATTTTCCAGGTTCCATTGCTTCAGAGGTGAACTGGTACTGCTGCTCTGACAGATGGTAGGTTTTTGTTAGTTTTAAAGATCTAAAGGAGAACACAAATAAGTAGTCAGTCACAAGAAAGCAACATGTAGGAGCATGGAAAAGCAAGGCTGATGCCTGCTGGTTTGTTTTCCACACCTGCTGGTGCCTGCTGTACTTTTCTTCGTTACGTAAACCCTGATCCTATATTCCCAAACCTAATTTGGCAGTTCTCCCTTTTGTGGAGGTGTGGTGGAGGAAATGAAGGCTGCTTTTCAGCAGAGCCCCGTGTTTTGGGGATTGGATTTTACAAGCAGCACGTTTAAAAGGTAAAATGTTAAAATAAAAGTCGTTTGTTGTACGGGATGTCTTTTACTGATTGCAATTACAATAAGACGGAATTCATCACGTGCTTCTCAACTTAATTCTAGTTTCTGTGAGCGTACCAGTGAAATCCTGCCCTTCTGAACCTTGATAAAGCAGTCGCTGTGAAGAGGGCTAACTTTATTCCAACGCTCGTTAGCAGCGCGATTATCTTCCTCGTTTTACGGTAGTGCCGCGCAGGCGGCAGGCGGGCCGGGCACCGCCCTAGGGGGAGGATCCCGCCCTGGGGGTCGCTGGGAGCTGTAGTCGCGGGCAGGGCTCGGGGCCGGCACTGCGGCGGCGCCGGACTGCAATCCCGCAGTGCGACGGGCCTCCCGCGAGGGGAAGAGGAAGGAGACCGCTCCGGCGGGAGGAGCTCGGCTACGATGCCCGTTCTGCGCGGCCCCGCGCCCTGACGGCCAGGTGAGCGGCCGGGAGGCGGAGGCGGCTCGGAGGAGCCGCGTGGGCCGGGCTGCGGGGTGGGCGCCGTGCGGCCGGGCTGCGGGCTCTGCGCTTCAGGCGCGGTCCGGTCGATGCAACCCGGCGCCGTCCGCTGTCTTCATCGGCTGGCGAGGGCGCGTCGGCTTTCTTAAAGCTCCCCGTGCCTTAGCTGAGGATGCTGCGTCCGATCTGTTGCGTCAGGGTTTAATTTTTAACGGGGTGCTCGTGGAACTTGGAACCGAGTGAGAGATTGTTAGAAAAAAAGCGTTGACTGGCAGCAGTTACTTTGTATCGGCCGCTTCTAGTTATGGAGAAACGGGGCTGCTCTGGGCTCCTCCTCCTGGTCAGCGAGCCACAGCTCTAGTGCCTTAAACATGGATCTTCACAAGAGGAGCTGTAGTGAAATCCGTCCCTGAGGGGCACTGGGATTGGTAGTTCTTACGAATCAGTTACGAGAGCTGTGAGGTGCGTTGGCTGTGAGAACCTGGAGTCTGACATTTAAGGCAGAAAAGGCCCTCACCTGCCCTGGCCAAAGCAGCTTTCTTCCCTTGGGCTGGAGCCTGAGGTTGGCGGTTGTTCAACACCGCCAGGAGGGAGAAGGGAGAACACGGGTGTCCTGAATTGTGACAGAGAAGGGGAGGAACTCTGTGTTTGCAGAAATGGAGGTCTAGCTGAGGTGGGTGTTCCGTGATGTTCCATGCCTGTGCTATATGTGTGCATTTCAACAGCTGGTGACCACAGGTATCCATCTGGTAATGGGAGGGGCTGGGCTCTTAATTTTCTACTTAATTATGGTTGTTCGTGAGCACTGGCTGATGCTTTTGAGGGTGTGAACTTCCAGAGGGAGATCTGCATGTTTGTCTTAGCTTACGTTGTAGCACAGTGCTCAGAAACCTTGAAAGCTGCTCAGAAATACTCCACCTGTTCAGTAATACTTTTTGTATTTTATTTTTTTGAGTCCTGAACTCAAGGAGAAAAAATTAACAAACTGTGCTTTTGCTCTGGTGGAGCAGAAAGTGGTGATGTTGACCTCTGCACTCTGCCAGAGTAGTTTGCGCAATTGCAACATTCAGCCTCTGCAGCTGTGGTTGTTTAGCCTGTTAGCTGGAGTCCAGTGCATGCCTGAATTGGCCCTATCTGCCCTTAGTGTCTCATATACAATAGCATTCAGATTGGAGGATTTTGGCATTGGAAGTTTATTTCCTTATTTAATGAAAAAAAATGGGGTAAAATTGAGTAAATGCTGTAAAGCCTTTCTTGCCTATATGGTCTGATAGAAGTTTCTTTGGTGCTTCACCCCAGGAGACCACGTCTGTATGAATGTTATATTTCAGGTTTTGACGTAGGTGATTTAAAGTGAACTTCATGTTTCTGTGCGTGCTAGCACAGCAAACCCACCTTCAGGTCCTTGAAGTTGCACAATAACATGCTTGTAGATCTGACACCCTACCTACCTAGTGTGGAAGTGATTCTCCTACTAGGATCTGCAGAGCTGGTTTTGGAGCTCAGTGTTGCTGTTCCCAGATGTGGGTGAAAAGATAATTGAGGTGGGGTTTCTTTCTCAGGACAGTGCTGGGCAGGTACTGAAAAGCCATCACCAGTGTTTCCTGCCTTTTTCCCTTTTCCTTCAAACCTTTGTGTGTAGAGGAAGGAAAAGAGACCCACAAGTATATAAACAATTCAGACTCTCTTTTGTTCTTTGACATGAATAATGATTCATCTTTTCCTCCCTGTTTTGAAAGTGGAGCCGGGAACCTAACCTGATTCTGTGTAACTATATGGATTTTTATTTTTTGGTGAGCATCCCTGAATTTTAAAACATCCATAGAAAAGTAGTTGTTTTCCACCTTTCTTATCTGTTTCTCAAACAGAGACAGGTAGATAAGAAGGAGTCCTCAGGGGAAAAATCTTGGGAGAAGGACAAAAAAAAAAAAACCAGTAGTTTGGTTTTGTTTTTTAAATGGAAGAGGAAATTCTAGGAGTTGGATTAATGCAAACACATTTGAAGTTTCATATTTGTGAATTGCAGTGTAAACACTGTTGTTGGCATTGCATAAAACAAATGTAATGCTGACTCTCCATGCTCTGTTTTCTAGATCCAGTAACAGCTTTTTCCTGGTTCTAAAAGCTTCTAAGGTTTCTCTTGATTTGAATACACCACTGGTGAGTACACTGAATCTATATTTTTTTTTTACTGTCTGAACCAAGGATTTGTTACTGCTCACATGGTTGCTGTAAAAGAGTTTCCCCTGCTGGGGGAATTGTGCATAACATACGTACAAATTCACTTTTTCTTGATATCCTCCAACTAGAAAATAAGCTGTTTTCTACATCTCTTCCTTCCTACCCCAAGAGAAGCACTCAGAATTCTTTCATTCAAAAATAAGGAACTCAACCAAAATGCAGGACTGGCTGGCAGAAACAGGGCTTGGAAAGCGGGGGTTGTGTAGAAGAATTTTTAATTGCTTTTGAAAAAGCATCATAGTAAATTACTCAGCAGCACCTTCTTCACTAGCTTGCAGCTTTGAATTTGGCCCATCTAAACTGTGTGTTACTGCCCATGTATGCATTCGTGCCTCACCTAATGATGCCGGTACTGAGCAGTTCCCTTTTAGTTACGTGGCAGTGTGGTAGGACTGAGATGCACTCTGGTATTGCATTTGGGGAACAGAGAGGGAGCAGCCAGTTGAGGTGAAGTGAACTTCTTAAATCAGCTAACTCAGTGACTGACCTCCTGGTAGCCTCTGTAAAAGCCCACACGGTGACGCACACTTCAGTGTTGCATAGAATTGCATGTTAAAGTGCTCTTTTTTGGTTTTGAAGACTTATTTAGCACTCTGTCAGCTGAGCAATCATAACGGGCTGTGAAATAATCTGTGCTCTCATTAATGCAGGGACTCGGTTGTGTTATCACCACCCAAGTGTACGGAGCAAGAAAGGTGCCACTGTTGCTGCCTACCAACTCGATTCAGCTAGCATAAGTCAACTGTAATCAGTTTTGTATCAACAAACTTGAACCTACTGATTTATTTTTTATTTTTCTGTTTAATTGCAGGAGACGTGTGTTGTGGGCAGGCATGGGCTGCAGGGATGTTCATGCAGCAACAGTGCTGGCCTTCCTCAGTGGGACAGCATCAGTGGCCGGACTCCTTGCAGCAGTTCTGCTTCCAAACTGGAGGCAAATGAGACTGTACACGTACAACAAGAATGAGAGGAATGTGACCATTTACACTGGACTCTGGATCAAGTGTGCTCGCTTTGATGGGAGCAGAGACTGTGTGATATATGACCCGCAGTGGTACACGGCGGTTGATCAGCTGGATTTGCGCGTTCTTCAGTTTGCCCTTCCACTGAGTATGTTCACTGCTGTCTCAGCTCTGTTTCTCTGCATGATTGGCATGTGTAACACAGCCTTTGTATCAAGCGTGCCAAACGTCAAACTGGCGAAATGCCTTGTGAACAGTGCGGGCTGCCACCTCGTGGCTGGCCTCTTGTTCCTCCTCGCATGTGCAATTTGTCTCACTCCGTCAATCTGGGTCATTTTTTACAACAACTATCTGAACAGAAAATACGAGCCTGTCTTTAGCTTTGACATCTCTGTATTTATCGCCATTGCCAGTGCTGGTGGTCTGTTTTTCACTTCTGTTCTTTTATTTCTGTGGTATTGTGCATGTAAGAGCCTGCCTTCTCCCTTCTGGCAGCCCCTCTATTCACATGCCCCCAGCATGCACAGCTATGCCTCTCAGCCATATTCTGCACGCTCTCGCCTCTCTGCCATGGAAATTGACATTCCTGTTGTGACACACACATCTTAAAGGGACA